GTTTTGGAACAGACACATAAAACATCATGACAGCAATACTTTGGCATATATTGGAAAATCTGCCATGAATAAAGATTTTTTTTCCCAATGAAATACAGTTTGCCTCTATTACTTGGCATTAAAATGATTTACTGAAATAGGCCAAAACATAAACTGCTGAAATAAAATGAAGAGAGATTACAGTTGCAGCAAAATGCAAAGGCCGATCTATTCAGCCGCATAATTGAGACACGTGTCAATGCAACTTTGACTCCCTAGAATAGGGGTGTCGAACTCAATCAGAGAAGGGGCCAAAATCTAAAATCCAGCCTAAATCACGGGCCGAATGGTTTACTGAACAGTCATAAACTGTCATTGTGATGGAAACGCAGCGGAGTGCAGTGATGACAGCGCGGTGCGGGCCACATTGCAAGGCCTGGCGGGACGGATTTGGCCTGCGGGCCTTGTGTTTGACACATGTGCCCTAGAAAGTGGCCGAAGGGGAAAAGATGCCTCCATCCTGCTCACCCCTCTGTACACTCCAAAGCCAAACCACGGGGCACTTGTGAGGACTCAGTTCCTCGGGAGCCACATTGATTAAGCAGACCAACATGCGTGGCCGTGACGTGGACCCTGAAGACTAGGAATCCATATTCGGCTAATCCATTCGGCTAATCCTGAGCGTCCACTCCCCGCCCAACACAGCGGCCGTATTGCCACAAAACCTCCGTGTTCTCACCCAGGTGGCCCGACAGGAAAGCAGCACCGGCTGCTGTGACAGCCCCTCTTTGTCAGCCATCAGCTACCTGGCTTTCAGGGCCTGGCCTGCACAGAGCGGAGCACAGGGCAGGATAGAAAACCTTCCACCCTGCCAAGACCAGTTTGGCTCAATGGATAGAGCGTCGGCTTGGGGACTGAAGGGTCCCGGGTTCGATTCCGGTCAAGGGCATGTACCTTGGTTGCGGACACATCCCCAGTAGGGGGTGTGCAAGAGGCAGCTGATCGATGACTCCCTCTCATCGATATTTCTAACTCTCTATCTCTCTCCCTTCCTCTCTGTACAAAATCAATAAAATATATTTTAAAAAAGAAAAAAGAAAAGAAAACCTTCCACCCTGAGTGGGGTGTTAGCGCTCCCGGGCCCTGGGGTCGGACCTCGGAGACCAGCTCTGCCTGTTAGGCTTCCTTCCTCTCAGCCCTTTTGGCTCATCTCAAACACCTCATTGAAGGAGACCCGCAGGGATCTCCCCGAGTTCAGCTTTCAACCTGTTTCAAGTTTCCAGTGTAGCCCATGACGCCAAGCCTGATTCTCTCCCGGCCCCACCGCGGTGGCCAGCGGCCACCTCCTCGTTGCTCATAGCTCCGGCAGCACCGAGGCTCTGAAGGTTTGATTGAAGTGGAGGGCACTGATTTGAGAGAGCATAAGCTATTTGCACGGAACCACCCCGGCATAACGCCCTGCAGGACCAGGGCCCAAATGGCCCCTTATCCTCTCCCTATGTTTCCCCATGGTCTCTGGCCCAGGCACACCAAGCTGGATGCCCTCTCTCCACATGACACCTTCCTCAAGGCCCCACTCAAAGGTTACTTCTGTGACCCTCCTCTCCCCGACACTGAGCAGTGGGTCTCTCCCTCCCCTGGGACCCACAGTGGCCTTTCCTCCCTCCATTAAGTCCCATGCTGCTCCTGACCAATTCTGTGCCCACGCCTGGCTCTCTCCCTGCCCCGCACACCAGAGGGCCAGACATTAGGCACCCAGGCAGGAAGACTCACTGTGTCTCCTGAGTTGACAGTTACAATTGAAGGTCGCTTTTATCTTTTTGAAAATATAATAAAAACTCCTTTCCATGGGTTATGTCTTTAACCAGTGCGATCCATACCGGGAGCTCTCGGTTTTAGTGCACAACCCCGGGAATCTTTTCTTAAAGTTTGTATGTGGCTCTTTTGTGCCAACGGGACATGAGATTCAGAATTCTGCTCTCTTCATCTCCGCTCTCCTCCTGGCCTGCAGGACAGACACAGACGCTGCCTGCAGTCCCAGCCCAGCAGAAGAGAAAGGTCTGCTTTCTCAATGAAAGCCATGCAGGGGAGGAGGCACTGCTGGTAAGGGCACAGCATGTGTGGAATTCTAGAAAAGAAGAAAGAAGTTATAAAAGCCCGTAATTGGGCTCTAAGTACATCAAAAAGCAGCTGGAAAACAGTCAGGAGCTAGGAGTAAAAGGGGGGGAAAAAATCCAGAGGTCACAGTGGACCACCAGCTGAATGATTCAAATGCTGTTTTGCTTTTTGACTGAGTGGCTAGAAGACGCGAGCGTGCAGGACCCTGCACAATCTTTTCATTGTCTCCTTCTGATCAAATGATTGCTGAAAGCTGCTACATATATCCAGACCCCACATATGCTCTTGAACTTAGAAACCAAACCTAACTAAAGAATATCCTGTGTCTTCTTGAAACTAGGAATCCAACAGTTCTAAGATGCACCATTATTTTATCAAACAGTAAGAAAAATGCTGCCAATTGAACAATGACATGCTTTTTTATTACCTCAAGTTTTTATTTTATTTTTATGGAAAAGGCTATGTTAAAATTATTCAGTCATACATCCTTATAGGATATCTTTCTTGGGCACATAAAAAAAAAAATAAAGGCAAAATAAACTGGTTAAGACAATGACAACCAGGTCACCTGGCTGAGAGCAATTGTAAGAAGCCACTGATTTGGAAAGTACATCTCATTTTCAGAAACGTTAAAATCTGGAAAAAAAAATTGCACACACCGTAGCATCAATAAAATACTATTTTATGCCTAGGTTCAGTGGCCAATTTTAGAAAGGACATGGTAATAGTTTACAGAATAACTGCTACAAAGATAGTTCATGGATTAGGAAATGTATTGATACAGAGGGGGAAATTTGAGATTATTCTTTGACTCAAGAAGGACAGAAGTATTATAGAATAGGGGTTTAATAATGTTCTTCAAGGACAGCAATGTCCTGTCCCCAAAAGCAGTGATTGTTTTTCTTTACTCTTTTAGCAGCGGCACAAGTGTCTTTCTAACACTCTCTCCTACGAGAAGCCCGAGTAGAGCGCTGCTCCGGCCGGAGGAAGCGCCTCGCCCTGCACCTGCCTGCGAGGTCACGGGGCTCAGGACCAGCTGAAATCCTGGCCTGGAGAGTAGAGGTCACCGTCTACCCACCCCGGACGATGCCACAACTCAAGAACGAGGCCTTAAACCATGCAGTACTCAACTAAACTTTCACTGTGGCCTGTAAAATGCAAGGCCTTCCTAGGTGCTCGTTATGCAAAGACTAATCGAGTATACGGAGGAGTTTTGTGAACCTGCAAGAAGAAATTTCCATGTGCAGCCTTCAGACCTTGAGGGGATTGCCAAAAGGTAAGGCTTTATCAGGGACCCAAGGAGCTGTACTGACCTCAACAAGGTAGAGTGAGTGCCCCACCCTACAGCCCATGGTAGCTCTACAGTCTATCTGCAACTCGCCTCCCTCTCTTTCGTGTGCGTGTGTGTGTGTGTGTGTGTGTGTGTGTGTTGTTTTATTTTTAATTGATTTGAGAGAGAAAGGGAGAGGGAGACAAGAGAAACGGGACTTGTTGTTCCACTCATTTATGCATTCATTGATTGTTTCTTGTGTGTGTGCCCTGACCAGAGATTGAGCCCACAACCATGGTCAACACTCTGACCACCTGGCCAGCGCTAGCACCATCTCTTTTCAAATGCAAGACCGATGTGGCTGAGTTTGGACAGCACAGGGTCTTGCCACTATGCTCGAGCACGTGGCCGAACGCAGCACCTTACCACGCACTCCTTCCTCCACAACAAACTAGCAAGCAAAACGATTTAGAATCCCCACTAGAAAGCTCTTGATCTGCACGTGTCTTCGCCCCCCTTTTCCTCCATTTCTTCTCCTAATACTGCTTCTAAAAAACTATTTGCTTTCCTTTTATTTTCTCAATTACAGTTGACATTCAATATGAGTCTGTGTTAGTTCAGATGGACATTGGTTACACCCTTTTACTATTTTTGAAGCAATTTCAATCCGGGCTCTATCCCACAACCACTCCTCCCCACCCAATTCGAACAGCTCAGCAGCCCTAGCCAGCTCCTCTGAAAGCCAAAGGGAGCTGGAGCAAAGAAAATTACCATTTTCCCCGTGGAGCCATAGCAACATACAAACAACTTGCAGATTAATGCCTCAGAGGATTAAAGAAAGCTGGTTTTCCGTGTGGAGGGTTAGCAGCCCATCCCAGTTATTGCTCCGATCATGACCGAGGTAGGTTAGGCTGGTCTGTCCCTTCCTTTGCCCCTGGCGCTTTCGGCAGCTCTGGAGGGAAAGTGTTTGGCAAAGGGGGTACCTCCTCCCTCCCCGCCTTCATTCAGGGAGGCATTTCTTTGGTTAAGGATGCTCCCTTGCTGTAAGCACCAACTGGGTTTTCCACGTGATTTTACGATCTGTGTTTATTATAAGCAGGGATTTACCAGAAGTGAGAAAAGTCCATCTGCATCCATTTATTCCCTACACGTAGAACCTCAGGTGAAAGGCTTTCTGGAACAGATGGCTTCCAATTAAGTGGCGTTCTGTGAAGAAATGGCGTACGGAAGCTAAGCCACGCTACGTTCTGAAGAAGATTCTGCTCACAGGCATAAGCTGTTGGTCTGACCCTGTGACTACAGAGGACTTCACATTGAACATGAGAAATTCATACAGAAGAACAGTGGTCATTAGTCTTCCCTTCCTCCACAAACCAACCTCAGAAAAAGTACTTCCCATGTTAGATAACATGTGGTCTTCCGTCAACAGAAATAAAATCAGGGACTGTGACAAGAGGGCAGTGTCCCTATGCAATCTCACAGTGGGACAGAGCGTAGACAAGGAAACTGAGGCCCAATGAGGCTAAGTCAGATAATGAGGAACACACACAAGTCTTCCGGGCAGTTAGGGTCAGCACTCTACTGCACAACATGGTCAAAACTTTAAAAAGTTTTAAGTTTCATATTTCCTTACCAGGATGACTTCGAAAATGAGCGGGACCAGTTTGCTCTCCTCCACAAGTCTGTTAAGAAATAAAAAGATAACCACACGTTAGACGGCTTGTGTGTTGCTGCTTACATCCTGTGACTGAGAAATCATCTGATGAAACATCACTTATTTTTAATACCCTGAACTACAGCCGTTTAAACACGAGAAATATGAAGCCTCTTTGCAAATGACTATTAGTTTAGCCTTATTGATCCGCAGCAAGCACAATCTCAGAGTAGTATTTGTAAATGTAAAATTTTATTAAAATTCAAAACTATTATGAGGACTATCAAACTGGGCAAGGCTGGCCAAATCACATAACCCATCATCACCACACAGTTAAATTATGAGCCTGTCACATTGTACTCTTTCATAGGTGTCACATCAGGTATCTTCTCAGCATTAATGATTTAATGCACAGTGATTTTTAAAAATCATCTTTAACTTTAAAAAGCATAGTTGCCCATCACCCAATGGAATCTAGGTACTTCTCCATTAAACCTTATTTTTTATTTATTTTTATTTAATTTTTTTAAACCTTGTTTAAAAATGTCATCTACTAGAATAATTTTTCTATGCAATTTAAGAGAAAATAGCCTTGATTCAAAAGTGACTGCATCTCTAAATAGTCCTTTAGGCCAAGGATCAGTCAACTTTCTTCTGTCAAGGGTCAGACAGTAAATATTTTAGGCTTTGCAGGCCACACGGTCTATGTAGCAACTACTGACCTCTGCCACTGGAATGGAAAAGCAGGCAAAAATAACACAGAAACGAGGAGGCATGGCCGTGTTCCGATGAAATTTTATTTACAGAAATGGGCAGCATGCCATGTTTGGCCCACAAGCTATAATTTGCTGGTCCTGATTCAGTTTAAAAATCAGATTCCTTCCTTTTATTGGAATTCACTCTGTGTGATAAACTGCAGCACTTTAAGCATGTTGCCTTTGTAGATACGCGCTGTTTGTCTATTTCACACACGATGCCGGGTGGATGGGAAGGGAATTTATCATCCGGCCTCCCTCGAGCTTGTCTGTCTATGATAATATATTGATTAAAAAAAAAAAAAAAAAAAAAAAAAAAAAGGCTTGTGAGACTAGCCCCCAAAAGATCACAGTGTTCACAAATGTGTGTTAAGAGAAAGTGAGATACAGAGCAAGTTCCCGAAGACTGAAGCTTGAGAAAGCCCCACCCCCGTGTCCAGCAAACCGAGCGTGATCGTTTCCATGGGTTCCATGGGGGAGAGGAGAGGTTTTGACTACAAACGTCCAATTCATTTACATTCTCTCCCTTTCCTGGGCCGCGGCAGGCTCAGATGTGAGTATGAAGCTCATGGCAGGGCAGCACGGGAAAAGCAGAGACTCAGGACCAAGCTCAGCTCCAGGCCAGCACCTTCCCGGTTTTCCTTCTCAGCTTCCCAGATGTTCTCGATCTCTTTTCCTACATGGGTCTTTTGACGTTTTGTTCTAATAATATATACTCTCATTAGGCCTGGGCTGACATGGCCAAGCTCATGCATACCAGAGTTGCCCTAGCAACCAAAGCCAAGGAAGTCACAGGGACAGACACAGCTGCTTCTCCACTGGGACCTGGAAGGCACAGGTCCCTCCAGCACAGTCACCCAACATCAGATCTAAGCATCCACTCCCAACACCACACTTCTCATAATAGTATCTTAAAATATAGCCTGGCCCGTGTGGCTCAGGTGAGTGAACATCATCCCATTCACTGAGAGCTCACCTCTTTGAATCACGGTCAGGACACCAGCCTGGACTGCAGACTTGATCCCCAGCAGGAGGTGTGCAAGAGGCCAACCCCGACTGGGGATTGATCAGCAGCCTAGGTATATGCTCCGACGGGAATCAAACCCACAGCCTTCTGGTACATGGGACTATACTCCAACTAACCGGGACATCCGGCCTGGGACACCCCCCTCCTTTTAAAAAACAATTCATATTTGTTTATTTAAATTAGCTGCTCCTGGCCAACTATGTGTAAACCCAAATACAAGTCGGACTAATAAAAATTTTCCCCAAAATGCTGCTTAGGAGGTTTGGGGTTTGTATTTGTCCCTAATGGAGCTCTAGATGGAAAACAAAGATCTTTCATTTCTTATGACTTATACAATTTGCCAGCCTAATAGACCAACAACAGTCATTTTTAAATAAAAAAAAATCTCTACCATCAGCTGAATTTCAAATTATTGGTTCAGTGAATCAGCTTCAAACAGAAATGGTTTCATAATGTTTCGCTATAGCATGATATTATGTCTGCTCTGAAAGCAATAATATTGGTAACATTTCTCTTTGAAATGTCTGCCCTTGCCTGCAATGTTGGCTCATTCCCTTGCAGAGAACTGCAAAAGTTTCCCCAGGAAAGGAACACATATACAAAATTATTTTTCACACAGACGAGGAGGAGGGCAGGGTTGAGAATCTAGCAGCGTTAGCACATAGCATTGTTAGATCTGGTTATTTTACAGAGATCTATAGAATCCTCCTTACGGGCAGGCATTATACTTCTTCCCTGAGGAAGTTCACACTCCGGTGGGCAAAAAACACATACGATACAAAAATAATCCAACTTATAAAGCGGAGGTCTTAGAATTAAGTTAGAAAATGAGGCTACTCCAGAATGCACCCCCGATATATGAAAATCATGGCATGAAAAAGATAATTTCAGTAAGAGAAAACATGGTTATGTGAAAAGCAAGTGTTTTTCCTACAAAAAGGAGATTTTTAGATGAAAATAAAAGAATTGTATGTTACATTAGCAACTCTGCAAAATGCTTTTCCATCTATTACCTCGGCAGATGCCCAATCCAGGCCGGTGGCGAGGCATGGAGGCGGCCACCAAATGCTCCTGCCACGGGAAGTGCGACGGGTGAGACGAAGAGCTGGGCCGCTCCTTTACACTCGCCTGGCCCTCTCCTACCTCCACGTGCTGCAGGGTGTCTGCAAGTCCTGGGCTGCCAGGGGCTTCCGGGGAACTGTTCCTGCAGGGACACCCACACTCCTGGTACCCAGGGGGCTGTGGACTGTCACTAATGTTAATGTCTGGTAAGAACCTGCCCGGCCGGTGTGGCTCAGCGGTTGAGCGTCCATCTATGAATAGGAGGTCACAGTTTCGATTCCCAGTCAGGGCACACGCCCAGGTTGCAGGCTTGATCCCCAGTAGGGAGCGTGCAGGAGGCAGCCCATCAATGATTCATCACTGATGTGTCTTTCTCTCTCTCCCTCTCCCTTTCTCTCTGAAATCAATGAAAATGTATTTTTTTAAAAACAAAAAAACTAACCACCAGCCTGTGTGTAAGCACGTACTTAATGAATCGATGTCTTCCTAATTACAGAAAATAATTAAAATTCGTAATGATTTTCTATAACTACTTACATAAAGTTATTTATATAAAATATAGAAATACAGAAGCATAAAATATATCTTATAGAGTGTTATGTTTGATAAAATGGAAAAGCATTACAAGGAAGATACTGTGAGAAAATCATTAATAAGTTTTGATGTACTATTTACTTGTCTTTTTTTCTACTCACATAGGTCACTCTCTTTTCTTTTCTGTTCATATCGGTCAAGCTTACCGTTAGCCACCAGTTGTGCACATTCCCGTGGCACTCGGACAGCCTTGCCCCATTTGCTAGTCTCATGACCCTGAGAGACTAAGTCCATTCCCCAGGGAAAGCTTCCTCTGGGAGGTAGCACTCGGTGGCGCTGGGATTAGAACTGGAATCTGCCAGTTACTGAGCCTATTAGAGACACGGTGTCAGGAGAGGGGGTGGGAGGGAAAGGTCAGATCATAACACATATGTTGCGTTTATTAAAAACCTTTCCTATGTCATCGCATAAGCCCTCTCAAATATGAGCCCTTGCACAGGCAGTTTTCTAGCCTACAAAGTATTTAACTGGTCCTCTTGAAGGACCCTTGTCCTCCATTTTTCATTAGCTCCTTAGAAAGCAAACCAACATGGTGCGGACAGGACCACTCCTAATGCGCTCAGCTCTTCACTGGTCCTAGCTCCGTGCTTCCTTCAGAGGCAACAGCACCGCCTGCTTCCCTCTGAGATAGTGAGGCGGGGACACACGCTGTGAATGGGAAGCAGCCCGCACTGGGCGGCCCGCAGAAAGCCCTCTCCGAAGACACACACGAGCTGTCTTTACTGTTATTGTTTTAAATGTCTTAGTGAACATTCCTGCACATAAATATTTGTACGTATCTTTTACTATGCTCCTTAGGATATATTCATAGGAGTAGATTTAATACATACTGACAGCCTGCTTGTCACAAAACATGTGCTAATTTATGAAAGCGCACGTTGCACTGGATTCTCAGCAAGTGCAATTCAAAACCTAACCCATGTGGTGACCGGAGACTAGGCCCCGGGTGGAGAGCACACAATGAGGCATACAAGCAGTATTATAAAGCTGCACACTGAAATGTTTGGAATGCTATTAACCAATGTTACCCCAATCAATTCTATTCAAACAGTATGTTCACTCTACCAGTTTGCTTTTAAAAATTATTTTAATGGCATTTTCTGTGATTACTAATGAAGGTGATGCTTTTTCATGTTTATTGTGGAAATGGCCTTTTCATTCCTTTGTCCATTTTCCCTTTGGAAATGTCAAGATACTGTGCAAACAGCTGGGTTGTGCTGTATTTATGACTCCAAGCAGAAGGAAGATAAGCATGTGATGGTGCACTGGGAGGGTGCAAGGTGTCTCGGAGCATTACCTCACTGAAGAACCCCGTGTGGCCCACGTCCCTGTCTGGGTTTCTTCCCTATGTAACATGCGATGGCAGAGACCGCTAAGTGACAACACATGTTGGAGATGGTAATAGTGTGCCCAGGAAGCCACAGAACATTTGAAACGCAGACCACTGTTTAGTCTGGCAGCTCTCGTGCTCTTTAATTATTTGACAAAGGCCCTGCCTGTACAGCAAACACTGCAATACAGTCTGACCAATAGCTGCCTTCACATGAAATCAGAGGGCTTGACATTGAAATGGAGGAGGACTAGGGAGAG